GCTGAGAACGCCGGGGCGGGGGAGGAGCTGGTTGGTCTCTAAATTGAGTCCAGCCCGCGCGCCCCCTCCCCCCGCAGGTGAGGGCAGCGGGAAGGGGACGGCGCTTGGGGACGCTGTTGCTGTGAACATTTTTTTTTTTTTCTGTTGAAAAATTCGACGTGGAGGCTGCCTCTCGTGGCCGGGAAGGTGGAAAGGGGCCTTCGGAGCGCAGGATTCGGGTCTCTGGGTGGAACCCGGAGGCTCTGACCCAGGAGGGCTGGGGCGTCTTTCCTGCGCCCGGGACCGACCGCCTCGGGGACTGGGGTCCCCGCGCGAGGGCCGCGGGCTCTGGACGGTCGGGGGGCGGAGGCTGCGTCCACTCCGCGGTTTCAGAAAGCACCCGAACGGGAAGGATTTGGAAAGCCGATTTCCAGCTCCACGCGCACAGCCCCTCGCCACGGAGTGAACGTCTGTGTGTGTCCCGGAGCGCTGTGGAGCCTGTAAGAGTAGCGTGATGATTAACGGAGAAAGGAGACTTGGAGGTTTATCCACTACTTCGAAGGATCAGAAATACAGTTTGTGCCTCTTTATCCCCAAAGTTTCTCCCCTTGTATTTACTAGAACAATCATTTAGTACAAGGAAGTCATCTCGTGAAAATATGGTGAGATGATGTTATTTATTTATTTATTTATTTTTTTAAAAAGATATATTTTATTGATTTTTTACAGAGAGGAAGGGAGAGGGATAGAGAGTTAGAAACACCGATCAGCTGCCTCCTGCACACCCCCTACTGGGGATGTGCCCGCAACCAAGGTACATGCCCTTGACTGGAATCGAACCTGGGACCTTTCAGTCCGCAGGATGCTCTATCCACTGAGCCAAACCGGTCAGGGCTGTTTTTTATTTTTTGCCTGGGACGGGAATGGAAAAGGAAAAGGGAAAGGCTCTGCTGGCTCCCAGGAGGAGAGCGAGTCTAATGTTTGTTTGTTTGTTTGTTTGTTTCTTTATTGATTAAGGTCATACATCTGTGTCCTAGTCTGATGTGTTTTGAGCGTTAAAACAAAGCACAATTGATCAATTGGACAGCTGGACTCATACACAAAAGGACTGGGTTTAACTGATGTTTGCTAACTTTATCTCTCTACCATCTTAAAGCTGCAGGCTGGTGTGACCTTAGAGGAACTAGAGTTCCTCTCTCCAAAGTAACTTCTTTTATTTATTTATTTGTTAATTCTCACCCAAGGATATTTTTTTAAAATATTTTTTTATTGATTTCAGAGAGGATGGGGGAGAGAGAGATAGAAACATCAATGATGAGAGGGAATCATTGATCGGTGCCTCCTGCACACCCCACACCTGCAACCCAGGCATGTGCCCCACCCGCAATCAACTGTGACTTCCTGATTCATAGTTTGGTGTTCAACCACTGAGTTATGCCCACTGGACAACCCAAGGATATTTTGTCCATTGATTTTTAGAGTGTAAGGGAGGGAGGACGGGGGAAGAGAGAGAGAGAGAGAGATTGATTGGTTGCGTCCCTCCAGTACACGCCCGGGGCTTGGGGTCAAACCCATGACCAAGGTGTGTGCCCGTGACTGGGAATCCGACCCGTGACCCTTCAGTCTGTGGATGAACGCTCTAACCACTGAGCAAGACCAGCCAGGGCCAAAGAAATTTCTTTTAAACTTTCCTTTGCTTCTAAGTTTACTTTTTCATTCAAAAATGTCTGAATTTGAAATGGGTACATTCTGTGCCCATTTATTAATTGGTGTCTTGGTTGTTTTTTCTCATAAATGAATTAAGATTAGATCTTTGCTCTCGTAATAGTTCAATTACCATTTTAATTTCAGTGTTGATTTTCAATGTGCAGACATTTTTAAAAGTTCGGATGCAGACACAAAGATAAAGCCCACGGAAATCATGAGACTACCTTTCTAGGCAAAATAAAAATCGAGGCTATTGGTTAACTGGCTTCCGCGGTCTGCAGGGAGCTTGACAGCAGGGCCATCCCTGCTTGGGTACAGGAGTCTCTCAGGGCAATGAGAATCACCATCTTCTTACTCAGGCCTAAACTGCCGTCCCGTCTCTGTATCTGGACTAGGAGAACTGCTTGGCAGCGCTAAACAGCTGCACCTGCCTGGAAGGGTTGAGTGGCCATTAGCTGACACAGATGCCTGGCTCATTTCCTTATTTCTCACTGACTTTATAAATTGGACTTTGGCTCTTTCTTGAATGTTTCTCAAATATGGTCCAACCAGAATATCAGACCCATACAATTATAAGTTTAACACCCCCACTTAGGCACTAAAACAGTGCAGTTTTACTGGGGTAGAACGTTTGTCGTTATCTGTTGATTCAGCTGTTGAACATTTTATTGGCCATCTTTACCCACATAATTCCTATTAATGACTGCTTTAAAATGCTATCCCTAGCTGGAACCAGGTTTGATAAAAAGAACTCCAAGCTGAGGTAGATCTGATCACATGGTCAAACTTGACTAAGAGTAAGTAAAAGTCTGTTTTTTGGCCAGTGCTTCTATAACTTGATTACCTCAAATACACCTATCTTTTTTTGAATACCACTTTGGAAAATCAGATGCTACAGAAATATATAACAAAGTAGTGAAAATTCCACCTAACATTTTTAAAAAAATATATTTTATTGGTTTTTTACAGAGAGGAAGGGAGACGGATAGAGAGTTAGAAACATCCATGAGAGAGAAACATCCATCAGCTGCCTCCTGCACACCCCCTACTGGGGATGTGCCTGCAACCAAGGTACATGCCCTTGACCGGAATCGAACCTGGAACTCTTCAACCACCTAAAATTTTTGTATATATTCATTTTTTTTGTTTATTCCACCCACTTATTTGCTTATTTCAGAACCAGCATCATACTTTTAATAATTATAACTTTATAATAATTTTATTATGTAGTGGTAGCCCAGCCTGGTACACAGCCATTCCTCTTATTTGTAATATTTTCCTTGCTATTCTCATGTGTTACTTCCAATACACTTTAGAATCATTTTGAAATTTTAAAATCTTGTTGTGGTTTCATGTATGTGATTATTATATTGAATTTATAGAGTAATATAGGGTGAAGTTACACCAGTACAATATTGAGTTATTCTCGTCAAGAATAAGGAATTTATCTTCATTTATTTATATTTCCCTAAGGTAGAGGTGACTTGCTTAATGCTTGATTCTTTATTTGTTCAAAGACAGAATTAATACTTGATCACTGCAAATAAAAAAAAGAGAATATAGGATTATGTTGATATAAAAATATGTTGAGCCCTAGCCATTTGGCTCAGTGGATAGAGCGTCGGCCTGTGGACTGAAGGATCCTGGGGGTGGAGGGGAGGAAAGATGTTTATTTCATAAGTAGCTACTGTTAGGCCTATAGGGCAATACAATCCTTATTGGCCATTTGTAAGCTTCCCGCCACAGGAGAACAAAAGACCAGGAAAAATTCGCTGGACACCAGGAGGCAGACCATACAAGGAGTGAAAACTGTCCTGAAGGCATCTGATTGCACACCTGCATTCCATCTCATTCCAACCCCACCAGCTCAGCCCCCAAACCCCACTGATGACAAGTTTCCCACCAGTGACTGCATGTAAGGTTGAAACTCCAGCTCCTGGGTGCTGCTGTCATTGACCCAATGTCCCCTTGGCTTGGTGCTGTGCAGCCTTTCCCTTCGGATATCCCACCCTCACCCCCACCCCGACCCTTAAATAAATTCAATTTTTCTTTTCTTTTTTAAAAAATATTTTATTTTAGCCCTAACCAGTTTGGCTCAGTGCATAGAGCATCGGCCTGCGGACTCAAAGGTCCCAGGTTCGATTCCGGTCAAGGGCATGTACCTTGGTTGCGGGCACATCCCCAGTAGGGAGTGTGCAGGAGGCAGCTGATGATGGATGTTCTCTCATGGATGTTTCTAACTCTCTATCCCTCTCCCTTCCTCTCTGTAAAAAAATCAATAAAATATATATTTTAAAAAAAAAT